TTATTGATTTTTTTTTATATTTATAGTTGTGGCAGACATGTGGGTCCTCTACTATCCTCCAGCACCCTCTGCATTCCTACTTGCCACGGCCAGGAAGAGCTGCCCGCTCCTCTCTGTCAAATAGATACAAATGTCCACCTTTTCAGTAACTTTAATCAAACAAAAAACTTATATTTCTCTAGGTAGTTTTAGCTTTAACTTTAGCTAGGTCTTAAAATACACAAGAGCTATGCTAATGTCGGTAAAATACTAACACGTTACAGTCACATTTAACTGCACTTGTATGCTTAACATTAAAACAACTGAGCTAAGATGCTAACATGCTAGCATCACTAATTTTAAAAACTGCATCAAATTAGTACATTACACATATTAATTTACTTTTTGGGGACTGCAATATAACCTAAACCAGATGGTATTGTGTTGCTTTAACTAAAAGTTAGTCACATTTAACTGCACTGTATGCCTAACATTACAACAACTGAGTTAAGATTACATTATATCTGCTCTGTGAATAGTTTGCAGCTTCACTTGGCAGGGCTAACTTCTGCAACTTGGCTAAACTTGGATTAAAGTTGCTGATAAATGTGAATTTATTCACATTACATGTCATTACTGTCTTACATGTCTTAAGGAGAGTAGCCTGAAGTAGTCTGAGTAGATGAAGGGTTATGTTGGGTGTGTGTATGCAGACAAAGAGGGGGTGGTTCTGTTGAGCCTTCTTGGTGTTGTGGGCCCAACTCAACAACACACCAGTTAGCGAGAGGGTACCCACCTGATGACCCTGTACGCCCGCACAGAACTTGTGTTGGTGTTGGGGATAATATAGTCACAGACTCATTGGAATTGTTAATAGTCTTCTTTTGTTAGTCAGTCTTGGTAGAACAGTGTCAGTGGTTGGACAACTGAGCAGACCTGGCTCTCAGAGGTGACTGCCGTTACAAGCCAGCTGGACCAGCCACTGCTTAGCCTGAGCAAATACAATGGAGATGCTGTGTGTCAAGCCACATATCTGCTCTTTGCTTGGATGAGGATAGGATTCAGGGATGCTTTGTGCTAATGACTGGAAAATGGTGTTGCTTATTGTGGGGCTCTTAGGATTTATGACGGCATGGCCCGACACCCCCCTAATAACGGATTCAGGGATGTCAACTTGAATACTGAGCTTCCATATGAATGCTCTTCCATTCCTTGGCACATTTAATTGTGTATTATTGACTGATTCCTGAGAGACTGCATATAACTGACCTCAACACAGAAGCAGTTGGCACCGGCAGAAAAACAAATTCAGACGGTCTTGTGGGAGGGCTACCCAGGGAGCTGGGCCGTCAGAAGTGCTTTATTGAAGAATTTATTAAAAGATGAGCTTTTTTAATTTTAGCATTTATTAGTTAACTGTAACTCGAATAAATAAACAAACAAGGCAACTTAATTTGTTTGCGCACATTTATGTTTTAAAATTTGGTTTTATGAACTGCACTAGTGTAGGACTGTTTACTGTGTAGAACAAAAAACATGGTTATTGTAAGTTTGGGGAGTCCAGCCAGTCCTAAATACAAATCCAGATTTGAGTTCAATTTTAATTAGACAGTGGTTGTGTGATTAAATGAAAAATTAAATACTGATGAATGCCAGAATTAAATTCAATTTAAAGTTTGTTTATGCTGAACACAGGCATTGTTATTAGGAACTGTTTAAGAGAGCAACTTGGTGCAACTTTATTCAACCACATCTTCATCTCTATCTAATGAAGACCATGACATGAAATTAAAATTAAAATCTAGGAAGTGTACTTTGAATTAAATGTTGTTGGTCAAATAAATATTTTCAACATCAAGAATGAATATTCAGAATCATGAAAATATATAAATACGTGTATGTTTTTCTGAACACTGCTGGATCTCCATTGTAAACTCAACAAAACAAAAATACAGTTTAAACACAAGCAATCATGGAAGATTGTCAAGAATGTGATATACATCGGCATGATCTCATTATAAATCTGACAAGACAATTTTGATACTCAGCCTTACATTATGGTTGGTACCAATAAAGAAAAATTATAAGCATGACATTAGCTCCACGTGACAGAGTTGTGCATGTTTAAAGTTGAGGCTTTCATAGAACAGACAAATAAGAAAAAGTGAGAAACAAAGGCAGCTAGCGCCCAAGAGAGTACGTGAAAGCAGAGTTCCATAGTCGTGATTGAATGAAAGCCTGTAGGAGCTGGTCATTCAGATGGATTACAGTAGCACTGCTTTCCTTTCATCTCACTCAGAGATTGTGTCTAGAGAGCAGGACACAAATTGGTTCACATCATGCTTAGCAAGCGCTGCTCATTCTGATAGTCGAGTCTGTTTGAAAACCGTGATGCATATTGCTACAGCATCGCATATAAGATGAATATTTATTCTGCACTGTAAGCCAAGGATCACACTCATCTTCTCCAAGAGTACAGTGACAGAAGGGAAACAGGCCAATCTATCATTCTATGCTCTGCAGCTTTTCCATTATGTGATTCATCAGTGTGCCACAATAACCATCACCCTATCTATGTCACCAACATGCAGCTGTAAGCACTTGTTCAGGTTGAGCTATCTGATTCTTATCAGATGACACCAGTGGGACAATAAGAAGAGAGGGGAAAGGAGAGATTTCACATCTGATTCAAATCTAAAAGTGAAAGAGTTCAACTACCAGCACAGAGAGACAGGGTACTGCAGCTCCCACTATATTACACTCAGGACCAAACGAGATACTCTGATTTAAACTGCTGTGTGATAGCTGTGATGTGAAGTTTGGGTAAGTCTGTACTGCACGAACCATCTAGCAAATTCAGATTCAGTCTTCAATCTGACTTCTTCCCAGCTTCCTTTGTTTTGTGAATAACTGAAAATAAGATGACATTTTGGCAGCACACTTACAGGTTTTATAAATTATAAGAAAATAAGATTGTAGAGCTGAAAAAGGTGACTGTGGCTGCAGCTTAATTGATTTATTCAGCTACATTTGCACTGAGCTTGGTTGTAGTGCTTTAAAAAAATTATTTAAGGTCCAGTTGTTTTTAGTGCTGTCAACTACATCTCATGATCATGATGGTGTTGTTATGACAGCTAAGCAAACTGTATCGTCTGAACACAAGATACATTTTTAAAGCTCCTTTTCATCAAATATTTTATCATTATAATAATCAAAAAAAGATGAATAGCTGTAGTAATTTCCAAAAATCCAAACTTTTTTAGCCAACTATATAAAAAACTCAAAGCGGTATACTGAAAAGGAGAAGATCATCAACTCCTCATTTTTGTGAAATAAATGTTTATTTTCTGTTTAAACTAATAATTGATTACTAAAATAGCTCATTGAATCATTTTTGTAAAAATCAATCAACTACCATAATTTTCTTAGCAGTAGCAAGGTGAGATAACACGTTGAGATATTTATGTAAATTTAAAGAGTTTGGGTAAAGCAGGTTACTGGAAAGACTGGGGAGAAAAAATAGAAAACAAAAGATTAATATTTTAGTATGTTTCTGAACTTGAAATGTTTGTGTCTAATATAAAAAAAGTAATGAAAGAGAGCCCCTCTTAAGGGAAATGCACAGTAAAAACTATAGAAAAAACTAAATTAAAATAAATAAAAAATGTAATTTGCCAAAAATAAAACTAAACGGTGCCATTGTTTAATATCATGTCAGCAGCTGAGCATCTCCCACCCCGAGGAAGAACGTGAGATACAACTGAAATCTCATGAAAACGTTAATAAGTGGAACTTGTTTGTCTTTTTTTAACCCGTTTCCAACATCAATCAGGAACTTTCACAGTCAGTCAGGAAGTGTAACAAAAGCTTTATATCCCTTTATACAAAAGCAAACAACTTCAATATTTCAGGTACATTTTAAAATTAAATACTATTTCCTTTCCTATTTTTCATTTATTTCTGATTTTAAATCTTGATTTTTATTTTATAAAGTAACATTGAAAGAAAAAAGGAACAGTGTATTCCCATTATCACACTACATGTATTTTTCATCTGGAATCAAGAAGATGTATGTTATGTGCCGTTCGCACCTGTCAGTGAGCGAACGAGAAAGAGGCAGACCCAGGTAGCCGACTTCGGTGCAAGCAGTGATTTATTATGTACAGTGATGATGAGAGTAACAATGCACAGAGGGAAATAGTGCGTAGTCCTGTCGATGAGTAGTAGCGGGGTGTTTGACCAACCCAAGAGCTGGGCCGAGCTGCGTAGGCTGGGTCACTCCTGGGCTGGTCGGTAGTGATGGTGGCTACTGAAGGTAGAGACAGAGAGATGAAGGCAATAGTGGAACAGATATGCGACTGAGCATTGACCTGCCTGGGAGGGGAGAGTGGAGCCACGGTCTGGAGGAACAGTCCATGGTGGGAACACAAAACAGTAGCTGGCTAGGGAATAATAATATACAAAAAAACAAAAGAGCACGGAGAAAAAATTGCCTAGAGACAAGAACGAACTGGCAAGTGACTGAGGAGTGAAACCGGGTAATATAGTGAGCAACCTAATCAAGTGCAGCTGGTGATAAGGGAGTGAGGAACAGGTGAACGTGATAAAAATAATGGGGCAAGAGACAGTAGGAAAGGTGAGGGAGGCAGAGCGACCGAGCAAACCTGACACTACATGTATTTTTCATCTGGAATCAAGAAGATGTAATGATGTTTTTGAGCTTATTGTCCAGTATTTCATATGTTATTTACAGGTTCTCACCATCTAGCCACAGACTGAATAAGAAACTATAAGAATAAGAAGTTTTTAAATAGAAAAATCAAAGGTCTATATTAGCAGACATCTCATGTATTACCTCATTTTGACCTCTGAAAAAACTCTTTACTTCTAGTCATGAAATCTGTTTGGAATCTTTGCATTTAAAGGATGTCCAGCTCGACTCTTGTATATGTTTCTAAAGATTTTCTGTGACAGTTGATGAGTAACTGTGGATGATAGGAGGGTCTGTCTTCACACTGCAGGGACGTCCTCCCCCTGCACCAGCGACCTGCCAATCATGTATCTGACCTCACATCTCTCTGACTGACAGTGATGTAGATGTGTCATTGTGACCGTATGCTGCTCGTGGATAATTGATCGCTAATCACTATCAGAAGATGAAGGACAAGTCTGTAAGTAGCACCAATGTTGTATACCTTTAGTTTTTGTATGTGAAAACATTATTTGGTGTTGGCAGGAAGGCTGTTTTTTCCTGTTGTGGTTTGACTGTGTGAAGCCGAGGCAAATGTTTATCACAGTGATACACACAAACAAACTTTCAGACGGTGCTGTTGTTTGTTTGACTTTCTAATCTATATGTAACATATTTTACAATCCCAGCAGTAACAGGATTTATTTCTTTTGCTGTAAAATAATTAAGAGTCCCATCTGTTTTGAAGCAAACATGTTTGGGCTTTACAACCGTCACGTAAAACGGATTATTTAAATGCTTTTGGCTGACAATGTCGCTCGTGTGTTCTCAAACAACTGGAAAAAACTACACTGTTTGAAACCAACCAATTCTTGACAAAGTGCAGATTTCCATTTATAACTAACTGTTGCAAAGGAAATAAAGCTTCCTTTTCTGACTTCCTTTGCAGGTGCAAGAATAGCGGCTGTATTAGACTTAATATTCAAAGATTAATATTTAATGATCAGTCTAATTTTCTCTCCTATGCTAGTGTAAATCTTTTAACATCTTGTAACTATATTCAACTCCAGTGACAAAATAATGAACCCTTTTGCTTTAATAAAAGTTCCAGACAAAATATCCCATTGAATATATGCATGTTAAAAGGGGAAACTCTGTGACACGCTGATGACAAATCTCTTTATGGCAGCTCTCACATGTGCTGTGTATGTGTAAGTCAGGGCTGTCATCCCAGCTTCTCCTAACAAAGGCGTTCTTTGTCCTGGAGCTGTTAGTCTCAAAGTCTGAGTTTGGGGCTAAGCGTACTGTAAGTAGTGGAGTTAACACTGCTGTAGGACAGCAAGAGTACAAATTGTCAGAGTGCGTAGCCCAGACCACGTGGAGTGCTGGCATCTGTGTGTCGCCAGCTCAGCATGGATACTTTTACTTTTGCTGCATGCTGCTCTGGCCTTATAAGAGTCCTCGACCTCCAATTGTAAAATCCTGCATGTACCAAAACTCAAACCAACTCAGTTATTAATTCACCTTTGCTAATGAATCACTATAATGTTTGTCCTGACTTGTGGACTTATTGTGCGACTACTGTAGTTACCAAGTAGTTTATTGATTGAGTGTTTCTGCAGTGACGGTGCCCCCTATACTGGTGTTCTTCAGTTGGCTTGAGTGTTTGGTACAGACTGATGATGTCATTGTTTTAATTTGAAAGGGTTCATTATGTGGTGTGAAGCACTGCCAAGATGGCAATGGCCAGACCTGAGCTTAAAAACCACTCTTCAGAAAACTAGTGGGTGATGCCATGGTGGGTTTGTCCATCATTTATTTTCTGATTTGGGGTTGTCTAAGCATAATTTATATTTTCTTCCACTAAACACGAGGAGAATGCAAATTTCAGTGCAACTTAAGTTGTTGGTTTAGCTATTTGAACATATTTACAAAGTTACATCAATGTTTAGTTAAGTTGTTTAATATACCTTTATTATTGCCTGCTACTTAGAGACGTATAAATGTCTCAAACATGAAGTTAAAATCAATTTGAAACACACTTTCATTTTGTTTGACAGGGAACAATGTTCTTGTTGTGCATGAAAATATGGACTTTAAGAAAAAGTATTCCATAGTTTCAAATTGTACTTAAGAATAAATCCTTACTTATTTCTATCCTTTTTTTAAAGAAACAAATATAAAAACATTCTTTTAAAAGGCTTTAAGTAATTTACAGTAGTGGATTATGTCCAGTTGTCCTGAGGCAGGTGATAACATCTTTACATAAGGCAGAAGTGTGTGTTTTACAAAGCAGGTGTAATCCAAGTACATAATTGAAACATGGCCAATGACTGGACGTTTAAGTGCTATTGCTCATTGCCTGGGTCTGTGCAAGGCTTCTCTGAGGTATCCGTGCAAAAACTGTATGAATCTGTCTGCCTGTCTGCTTCCCATGATGCACCTCCCCATCTCCAGCCTGGCGAAGGCAGTGAAAGAGGCCATTGTTCCTGTCATTCTGAGGCATGTTACATGCACTTATGATACAGAGTGGGAGAAATTATTCCCATTATATCTCTGGAATGTCTTTGAATCAGTCAGTTCTGTATGAATAAGGGCTGCTGCTCTTTAGCAGACTGATTTAGTCTTTCAGCTGTGTGTTTGTTTACATGTTTGAAAGTGAACCTAAGGAATTTAGCATTAGTTAGTTTTCTAATCAAAAGCAACACCTTGCTTTATGCAAATATTCTTCCTCATTGAGGCATTTTTCATTTTTAGCAAAACCCACCTCCAGAGCCTGATTCACATGTCTGATCCGCTCACTCAAGCTGGCAGTTTTGTTGCCTTTCAAGACTTCTCTCCTCCTAATTCCTTTCTTTTCTTGCTGAGCTTTGATTGATGTGCGGCAAACCACAGTTAGAAAACCTTGCAGCTTCTCCCAGGGATTTTTCCAGTATGATGTAATGTTTTGATGATCCTCAGTGTAGTATGCCATGTGTAGTGACATCAAAACACACCGAAAAGGTGGACTTTTCTGTCTTCTCAAGATCTTTTGTGCTCCACATAACATGAGATCCTTTGAATCTCCAAAGCAGGACTCTTTGACATACATGAAAACATTTGATTCTCTCTTTTCTCAAGTTCCAGATCACATTAAAGCCTGATAGAACCGAGGCTTCCTGGTCCTATATCTGCATCTCTAAGTGGGGAAAAATGACTTTTCAATTTTCTTTTTCTTTTCTTAAATCCTGAGTTGTCAGGGTATTAGCCACAGCCACTCAGGGTGTAAACCAAGAGGTCAGATGCAGAGGTCAAGAAACACTGAATCTGTTTTAATGCTGCTGTATCATGTATCACCTCTTGCCATTTTGATCTTTTGTTCTGCCCCCACTGACCTGTTGCAGGAGTTGAAGATGTGCTCTTTTCATTCATTAGGGTAGATGGCCGGCACTGCTACCAAGTGTTTCATCACTCTATAAATAAGTGATTATTTGTAGTATTAACTCATTAAATCTGATTTAAAATGTCCGTCTCCAGCCAAAAGTGTTTAGGGCTATTCCGAATGGCCACACTCAAATGCTGCATTTCCACTATTGGAACCTAACCAGCGGTATACCCCGTGCTTCCCTTAACCATCACTAACCATAGCCTCCAGGGTTGACGCAGACCATCCTGCTTTGTTTTTCCACTGGATTTTCTATGTTGGTCTCTGTTTAGAGGAGGAAAGAGCTGCTCCTCTCTCTCTCTCTCTCTCTCACACACACACACAGTCACACGATGCATATTGATGAATATATGGTATATACTGTGTATATGTATATATATACATGTGCTCCTTACAATGTGAGATCTTGCTTTATAAAATTCAAAAAATGTAGTTTTAAAGTTATCTATCTGATCTGTATCCATGGTTACAGCATGACTTTTTATAGTGCAAAAGCACCCTAGTGCCAACAGGTTAAAAGGGTGAAAGGCACATAAAAAGTTATCAAATGAGATGCTATTCAGCCAGTCACTTGGAAAGTGCTGTTTGCTGAGTTCAGATGTCTAGTAGTGAGTGGACAGGACTTATTCTCCTTGGGAGAAAAGCTTACAGGCTCGTCTGCTGCTGCATTTGTTTGGATTGGTTATGATCCTCCATCCAGTCTGCTGCTGTTGCTCTGTTTTACTCTTTTTTCTGCTATGAATGTGACGGTGGAATGCACGTGGGGTGGGGTAACGAGGTCAGGGGCTCAGGAATTCCCACTCACTTGGCTCATCATGTATTTTCTCTTCTCCTTCACCAAATCTCCTTCACCACACATGGAAAAGTGGATGTTTTGTTTGTGAAACACTGTGCTCTCTGCGTTGTGCATGCCATTCTTGTCAGGCACCAGGGACAGGAGACATTGCATGATGTGGCATTGAGTTTAAGAGGAGGAGCGCTGTTGAGTTCATTCATCTACCTGTCAAAGGCCTCTTTTTTGCTTTTTTTATCTTTAGCCAAAATCTATCAGGCCTGACAAGAAGCACAATTTGAGCCAAGTTGAGGGCAGTGCTCCAGGTCCCTTTCACAACTCTTTTCCTCCACTCTTGGAAAAAGTTTGCGGACAGCCCTGCTCCTGGCCTGGGTTTTGTTGAGTCATGTGAGATCACAGAACCACAGGACAGGTGGGCCTGAAGGTGGAGGGGACCACAGGGTAAATGAGGCAGGTGGAGTCAAGGCCAGGGGTCAGCAGGGGAGCTAAAATCTGCTCACAAGCCAGCACACAGCAGAGTGCTCTGGTGCTAGCATTGTATAAGGTAATGTCTAGCAAACATGTTGGGGTGGGACGTGTGCACAGATTTATTTTAATACACTGCTGGTCCTGCCAGTGGGGGGAGGGATGTCGAGCCTGCCAGCTCGTCCCAGGATCACTGTCGCACTTCAGACAAGACAGGACTTTTTAAACAAAGCCACTGCAGACTGAACAGATAAAACACTGAAAAGAGGCAAGTTTCAGTCCAAGTGTGACCTTTGGTTCTGCATGATTACAAAGGGCTGTTTTTCCTTCCCTCAAATATGCATGGGACGGGCTGGACTAGCTTGTCTTACAGATGCATGTTTTGAGCTCATTGCCCTGCAGGGAGGTCTGGATTTGGCACATCAGTCTGATATTTAGCATTGCAGTGAAAAGTATGAGTAGTTGCCTTCAGATAGTTACTGTACACTGCACAGAGGTAGGAGTCTGTGTTTTACAACACAAAGGATCAGTAAACATGTTTGCTATCACCTTTAGAGAATGAAAGATTTCTCTTACCTGAATAATTAGATACTAAGGAGGCTGCAATTAATGATTGATTTCATAATGGTTGATAATCTATTGATTTTATTTTTTGATTCCATCATTTAACCAATAAAATTAAATGAATCAAGTTTTTTAAATTAGGCTATAAAATATTGCTGACATTCTTGCATGTCAAAGCCTGGGAAAAAGCTAGCTAGTGTGCTTGAGTTCATATATTTTTATCAAACAAAATAGT